TGTCATCATACTTCTTTACTTCATCCAAGAACCTGCTCTCCAAGAAGCAATGTGAAGTCTTTCCAGGGGCCTGTTTCATGGAATTTACAAGTTCTACAATTTACGTTACAAGTACTTGCAAGGGTTGGGCCTTCTTGTTTAACTCTTCCAGCTGGATCCGCTGGCCCTTCGACACAAGGAACCTGCAACACCCAATTATAATGAAAATAAATTGATACAGGCCTATGGAAGAGACACGGGGAATATTTTTTTTGAGAGAGAGAAAAAAAAAACAAGATGGGCAAGCCCAGTCCATAGTGGGCCTCCTTTCATTTAAGGAGACCCTCATTTTGTCATCTACATGAACAAATTGCCATCTCTTTCTGGTCTTCGACCATAAAAAATCTCATTTCTCAGATTTGGCAAATCTATCCATGGTGCTCATGAAATGATGGGAGGATGGAGGGTTGTGCGTTGTTGAATCAATCCCCAGGAAGGCCAGTAGAGAACTGACAGCATTGGTTGGAGGCACGTCACCGCGACGAAGGCCTGGGTCGTGCGCACATGCGCATTGTGGTCCAGATCCAGAAGGGCTCACGGGTTCTCATGCCTTCCCCTCCATGACAAAATTTCCGATCCAAAATTTGCAATAAAAAATGCCAATTTCAGTGCAAATTCACCACAAAACGAACTCAGCCCGTATCTTCTCCATACCTACCTGCTTGCCAATTTTCGAAGTGATCAGGCCAATGTTTTCTTAGTTATCGTCGAACAACCAAAGTGCGGACACACGGGACCATAAGTAGTCGCTTTCCTTTCAGAAAAGGAGGCCCACTTAAAGGAGATTCGAACCGGGAAAAATGTTGTACTCACCCTTGCTTTTCCGTAAAATCCATGAACCATTCGACGGGTAAGATCACAAATGAAACCATCCACTTAATGAACTTCGATTTGTTTCCACGTTTTTTCGGGGTCAACACTCCTCTGCTGATGGTCCGTCGCATGGTGGACACCCCGTAGCCAGTGATTTCTGAAGTTGTTTTCACTGATGCTCTGGCTCCTGTTTGGATCAGGTGATTGTGCATTCCATTGACAATCACTCGCTTGCAGCATTTTGAAATGTACTGTCCGCGCCTAGTGACACTAGATGAAGCATCTGAAACGTCCGTATCACTTTCTTGAATATCTCTGGGGATGATGCAATACGAATTATTCCACGGGCAAAAGTAGCCCATCAAAGCTCGACAAGTCGGTAACACCGAGATAAATCTGAGCTTGCAAACTCCCGAGGTTGGTCAACTCAGTTCGCCTACCCGAGGACATGGATCAGTTGTTTGACCCCCATCAGCTCTCATTCGCCTTCTTTCTTGTCATATTTACAAAGAACCGGACAAATTGCTCATAATGGCAGCAACTCAGCTACAGCAACTATCTCCAATACGCTAATGCCTGGATGAATTATAAACGAGAGGAGGTAATCATCCAGGATGCGCCCTCTATCAAGGAAGGAAAAATGTCTCAGCACAAAATTACATCAAATTGAAGGAGAAAATAAAAGGGACTTAGTTGAACTCACAAAGAGTTCTGATAACAATGCCAATATGCCAGCCGGCTCCGTGTCGCGTTCCCGCGATATTTCACACATGCTGTCATGAATCAATGTTGGTCTAAGGAATAAATCGTCGACATGGTGCACGTGGATTTAGCTCAGGATGCTGTGAAAGAGGAACTACAAAAACATTTGCGAAAGTGTTACTGTATCACGCCTATCGTTTCCGTTAACAGACGATATCGAAGGTGGAACAATGCGGAATAATAAATAGTCCAATGCCCTTTATAGTAGTTAGTCCTTTCGATTGTAAAGCAAGGAGAACAGAGTTAGGCTTGCACGCTGGTAGTAGGTGGATCCTTGTGAGGGGTACCTGACCTGAAAGAAGAAACCACCGTTACTTTCGAGAGTCAACCCGATTGGGATTCAGAGAAACAAGTCGATCTAAGGAAATTTCAACTACGCACCGAAAGTCGACGCTTCTGACAGGTCAAAAGCACTAATACTTCATTCCCATTTTGGTTTATATACTGTATATACGAAGAGCTGAGGATCCAGCGGGCTTAGTTTCGATGACCCCGGTCTGACAGAGATGTGCTTCCTTCGCGAACCAGCTCTCCTCCTTCTCCTCCTCGTTTATCTTTGTGATGGGAAGTCTGTCCTCAAGGCTGACGACGAGGACCACAGAGACTCCAAATGTAAGTTTTCTTTCTTCTTAGCTTATCTAATCTGGTATTTGACCCATGGTATTTGATTAGCTTGTTTTCATCCGATCACTTTCCGATTCTTTCTCGCAGCAATGAAAAGTCCTAGAAAGGATCCAACCACGAGCTCAGGTACAATTTTCGTCTCGTGTGGAAAAGCGCCGAGATGGTCCTGAAGTAGAGTTGCGGTAGGAAACAAATTTACAAGAAATAACCCCTGTAGCTGTGTATTAACAGGCCTGGTAATCCATATGCAGTAGAATAGGCGGCTTCTCTGCAACGTTAACAGATGCATTTTAGCCCTTTCGTGCATGAATTTTTAAAGCAAAACAAAAATATGCCCTTTCTGGTTTAACTTTTAAGGAGATACTCTGCCGTAGTAGTCGCATTTTCCACCGCTAGAAAGCAGCACTGAATAGATTACGAGCCATTGAGTTGATTGCATGTACCAAAAGCTTCGAGGTATGTGTGCCATGGCTGAAAAGCCATCATCATGAACCAAAATTTTGCCGTTCACTACAGTGGACATCATACACCAAAGGATTAAGAGAATAAAAAATTTTTTAAAACGAATTCTGCCATGCTATGCAAACTACAATACTAAGATGTTTCGGTACATTATTACTGATTATTGTAGGAAAAAAACCCATTAAAGGATATGAGCCTTCTCCCAGCAGCAGCAGCGGCAGCTGCACCTTTGGCCTCTCAGGGCTTGCAAGTCCCTACTGCGGCTATGTCCTGCTTGAATTGTGCGTATTTGGATTATAGGTACATATTTTTAAATAATGATGAACCCTCTCGGAGGCCCTTTCTTCCGGGTTCTCTTTCACTTCCACATTCGTTCTTAATGTCAATTTCTGATTCTAAAGTTCCTAAAGAATCACCTGAATCTAACAAAACGTCATCACGGTCACTACCATCAGAAAAATCTAAAAACCACTGCATTTTTCAGAATCAGAACTGAAACCCGGTAAAAGACACTACGAAATTCGGTCCGCATGAAAAATAAGCTCACTTCTAACTTTTCACAGCAAATTATATCCGTCAATGAGCTGCTGTCACTACAAATCATTAAGACCACCGGTTCTCTGATATGTTCATAGAAGGGAGTACCACAAAAAAAGAAAAGCAATAGTTTTCAAGGCACAGATTTCGACAAAGCCAGCAAAAAAAAAAACTTATTCCCTACTGGAAACGAGTAGACTTCGGGTAAGGTAAAATAGTACGAGCGGCCTGCCAGAGCTGACCTTGAGTAGGCAACTGCAAGAGTTAATGGTTAATAACTGCTGCAAAAACAATTCCCAATTTCCCCGTCACTTAGTTAACAGTTGATCTGGGAATGCTATGCGGATTAATTAATTAGCTCTTACACATGAGGAGTATGTTTCCCTAATAAAAAGTCCTCCTGTATAGTTCCGCCCATTAACGATGCAATATCAAAATCATAAGTACATGAAGAGTACCATAAACAGAATAAATATTCAAGACTCAATATGTAGAGTGTGGTTTACGTAAAGCATAAAGAAATTCACAACCCTCAATGTATAATCTATTACTGATTTCTCATCTTGATATGCAGATTCCATCCTGAACCTGTTCACACGTTTCACGTCTGCAAATACGAACTGCACGGGTGATAATGGAGATGAGGGGATATGTTATACTGCGAAAGAATGCAGACGGATGGGTGGAACCATCTCTTCAAAGCCTTGTGCACAAGGATTTGGAGTGTGCTGCATTTGTGAGTTTCAATTCCCTCATTTCTGATAATACAGTGTATGTTACCCAATCCATGTTCAGAATCTGAGTTTTCCCCCTATGGGTATGAGTCTTTAAGACATGCCAGGGGTCAACAAGTGAGGAAGTTGCATACTTCCAGAATACCAAATACCCTGAACCAGAAACAACAAGGAACAAGGCTTGCATGTTTCAACTAACTGTCCCTCATAAGGACTTCTGCCAAGTCAGGTGAGAACCATATTTTTCCCTCACTACAGCAACCAAGAAGTAGTCCATGTAGGCCAGGTTGCAAATTACAACTGAAACGAGTTCATTCTATTCTACAAAGGCTGGACTTCGACAATTTTGAACTAGCCGAACCAAACATGCCAGATGGTACAAAAGCAGCCAAATGTAGAGACGATGACAGCTTTGTAATAGAAGGGGGTCATGAGATCAATCCTCTCAATATGGACCACGTTGAACTATGTGGGAATAACACAGGCCAACACTGTGAGTTTCTGAGTTCTATCACTGCTCATTGATTCTGTGTCGTTGATCACATCAGGGAGTGAAATAGGATATACTTATTTCTTTTTCTAGTATATGTTCACCTGAACAAAAGTGCAGTCCCCATCACCTTTACTCTCTTTGTACAAGCTGACACAACACCTTATAAATGGAAGATCAAAACTACCATGATTGACTGCACCAAGGAATCTCGTCTCAAAGGTACATGTAGGAACATTACCAATCTTTTATCTAATATACCCATTGTTTTTGCACTCAAGTGGATTTTCTTAGATCACCTCACAGATTGTGTTCTATGGAAAGATGAACTAAATTAATTCATTCCTATAAGTACTAAGGAATTCTCGTTTTGCAGCTCCCAGTCAATGCCTTCAATACTACATCGGGTCTGAGGGAACAATTCAAAGCTTCAACTATGGAAGTGGTTCCAGTAACTATCTGAGAAACCTGGACTACCAGATCTGCATCAATCGAGAATTCGATAAATGTGGAATCCTGTACACAGCTACCAAATTCTCCCTCGACAGTACGAATCCTGATAACAATAACCTTCCGCCATTCTACTGTGGAAATGCAGACAGGCTCACTGTTTTGGGTGCTTCACCTGGAGTCCGTTGTGGAAATGGAAATGCTACAAGTTTCCCTAGTAAGCCAAACTCCAGACATATTCAGATAGTGGTACTACAATCTGCATTCGAACTAAAGGAGATAAATAATTTCCCCCACAGATCTTCTCGTCTGTTACTCTGGCCAATTCATCCTGAACTTCAAGTCAAATGATGAGGACAATGGTGATGGCCATGGCTTCCAGATAAAATACCACCAGCAGCCAATGTGTGATCCAAGTTGTAAATAGTATCAAACAATGACTATAAGAAGATGCAACAATAATCCTTAGCTTCATCAGAATCATCATCGTATACCTCATTTATAATATTGTATGCCATGAAAGGCTTTCACATGACAGCCACATTTTGATTTTCTGTGCGCTTTGACATGCTCTGCTGATGTGAAAATAAATATAGTTGATTATCCATGAAAACATTTCAAATCTTGCATTCAATAAATGATAGAAATGCAGGTGAATGGAATGGAAAATCTTCTATCAAGACAAAGGTGATTTCAATTAATCTTCTGTCACCACAGGACATTCAGTAAGATCATGGTATATTCAGTATATTGGTACATGTACACTTCAATACTTCCTGAACTGCTTTTTAAACTTTTCAAAGTAAAAATCATCACTGGCTTTAGATTCGGACCTCCGTTTGTTCCCAGGTGCATTCACAATTGTTGCTTCACCATCCACTCCCACAACAATTTCAGATTTTGGCCCTTTCTCAGTGATTACAGGTCTCTTGTGCTTTGGTGGTCCTCCTTCATCCAGGCTATCTGTTAAAATAAGGACATCAACATATCAGTTTCATTATGTCTATGTCAAAGATGAACAATTTCATCCCATGCAAGAGGAATGGCACAATAAAAAAAAAGTAAAAAACATTAAGTTTTATGAACACTGATCACTTACAACGATTGTGTTGGACAAAATTGACAGCCATGTTGGTAGGTACAAATTCTGAAGGAGCATCTTTCTTCTTCATTCTTTCCCGGACAAGTCTTTGTTTAGCTTCTTCAGTGGCTTCAATATTCTTTATCTTCATCCTATAAAGGAAAAATAAGGAAGATAATCTGGCTATGAAGTGGTTGAAAGAAAATGAATAACAGACAATGAAGACATAAATGGTTTTCCTTAAGTCCTAAATTCAAATACATAAATTGAAACAGAAATGGAAAAAAGCACATGATCAGAAAACCAAAGTACCTTAGATGTAACTTCTTGAAAAAAAAAGACAGCTTAGGCATGCACTTCAAATTTCAGCATCAGCTCTTGGCAAATGCATGGGCCAGCATTGAATACCTCCACAATAAATACTTTTACTCGCAAATGTTTTTGTAGGAAGTAGAATAACATAGTTAACATAGGAAGTCTGCTCACATGAAGGTCTAAGAGAAGAAAATGTCTCTTAGACAAGGGAGGTCCAGATGACTAAAAGAAATGGATGTGCAGTAGACATGTCCTTTGTCTCTGGTTTTTATGGTATAACAGAATTCCTATAAGCTGAGTGTTGCCGTATTCATTTACTGGCTAGAAAACATCATGTGTTCAATATTCAATCATAACCCACAAAGAAGAAAAATACATAAGACATGTGGAGAACTTACTCAAGTCCCAAATCAACCTCCGGAATGCCACAGAGCATTTGACTAGATAGCATTTCTTCTGATTTCTTTCCTGCTGCCTGGCGAAGATGCTGAGGGACAGCCATGAGAGCTGCTTCCTCTGGGGCCATTATCTTGGCTCCTGGTTGTTCATGTTCTTCTTTATCTCTTTGGGGTTTCTTTCCTCTCCTTTTCTCCATCTCCTCCTCTATATACTTTCTCCTATATTATGAAAATAAATCATAAATGAATTGGATGAATAAAAAAAAAAGCACGAAATATGTGGGCCACTTGTATCACAATAGCCACAATAGCTCTGTACTAATTTAGGGATTAGGCATGACACAATGCCACTTTATATGCCATGGCCTGTTAAAAGAGACAAAAGCCAAAAAGGATGAAAGCAACTTTTTTCAGAAAGGTATAGACATTTGACTTTGAATGCCAAGCTCCCTCTGCATTTCCTCCTCCTCCTTCTCCCTTTGACCAATGGAAAGCAATTGCCATTGTCTCTTCAGGGTAAAAGGAATATTTGCAAATAAAGGCATAGCACTTGGATTCTGTAGCTTGTAAATCTAATGTGTAATAGGCTAAAGAGATCTCATGAGTTTGCAAATAATAATAGTGAGCACCCCCTGCATCCAAGAACTCATGGCTGTCCTTACAGACCACACCATGCACCACAAGTCACACTTTTCTTGGATTGAATTTGTATCCTCCCCCCCTTCCCCTATATGGTACATATGGTACTGCCCCAACAGAGTGTACAAATTTAAATGGTTCAATCCCACAAAAAAGTCCACCAATGTCAACTTGAAAAGAAGCTACAGTAGGTCTATTACAGATGAGGTAAGGGGCAGCTATTCATTGCCCAGGAAAACGATTGAAGGGCTGAAAGGAAAAGTGGTCTAACTGCAAAAAATTTATGAGAAAAGTATAATTGTTTTAGTGCACATAAACCCTTTTCCCTTTTACTGAAGATGGTAGTTTTCAGGAATCTATGCAAAGGGAAAACTGGTCTATCCAAACACATCACTTTTCCTCCCTTACAAGGAGATGGTCACTGAAATATTCACTCAGTCTAAAAGGACCCCGACAAAATGTTTTGTAGACCACTTCTCCTATCAGCCCTTCAATTATGGCCAGGCAGGCAACTCCTGTAAACACATTACCAGGTGGCACAAAACAAAAACAAAAAAGTTTGAGCTGCTATAACACCTATTTTTTAAACTTTAGTTTTGTCTATTTCTTGCATTATGCAGAAAACACTTCAACATTTTTAAATGAAAGTTTTGAAGTCTCTAGGTTGTTTGGGTAAAGAGTAAAAACAACAATAAATTTAGGATAATTTCCCTTTTCCACACATTGGGAGGCTGCAGTTTTACCAGTACTCTCAAAAGGTGTTCCATTCATTGCCAAAAGCCTGCTTCTTAGGCTGTATGTTCATTGCAATGTTCTTAAGTATGCAGAGTCATCATGTTGTATCCTTCGAAGGAAAAGCCAAGGCATTAAAGGTTTTTTTTTTCATATGAAGGGCTAGCAAAGGGACTCCACAGAAGAAAGTCCATAATAATAAACAATAGTCCTCTAGTCCTTATATTCTTAACACATGATCAAATTCAGGCCCGACCTCACCTGAGGTCTACAGACACCACATAATCAAGAATACTATGATAAGGTGATGCATAAGAAGCATCCATCAAAGGAGAAAAACCTTAGTGCTGAGACTGTATCGACCTCATGTGTTGAAAAAGTTAATTTTATAACTGCATGTCACTTTTTATACAGACAACCTAGACCACTCAAAACTTTCAGGAAACAAATTTTGTAGTATTTTCGATATGAAACCAAAAAAGCACAAACTTACACTTTCCACAGATGGTTTCATAAGGCATCAAACAGGACTTTTTTTTTTTCTTTGCACCACCAAATATTAACTCAAAAAGCCAGATTCATCCCTTTGAGCAATGACTTGACACACTAAATTCATGGCATGTTGAGTTTCTGAGGTTAAAAGCAATTGACAGGCCAAGAAATGGGATGACAGCATTAAGAGAAGGAAAGAAAATGCTTCTGGATACCATATGATGAAGTCAGCCACATGAAATAAGTTCCATTTACAAATAGATAAATTAATGTCCAAAGAAAAATATAAATCTAATACCTAAAAAGGGTACTTGCATGTTGTGTGCACACTGTGCACACACTGAAAAAAACTCTATATTTGTTCCCAGCCCATGGATGAGACCCACAAACTCTCTTCATTCCCATACTGGCAACAACATCCCATTTCCAGTTTGTGGACAAGGCTCCACTACAATGGTATCTCATTTGCTCCAACCTCTGTGTGGTGGAGAGAGAAAAGGCAAAGGAAAGAGGGTGCTCTCATTGAAATAAACTTGAAAGCCACATTTATGATCCCTTTTAAGCTAAGGTGTCACAAACATTGAAAAAGTCGTAAAGATGCCAACACATCTTCCCTACATGTGGGCCCATCATGAAATTAACCTGATCTTTCCTAAGACCATACATCTTCACAAAAAAGATCTTGGACACACTGTGCATAGAGAGGTGTGCACATAACATAGGAACACCAAATGGACCAACATTGGACACCATTTTCACACAAACCAAAAGTAGTCACTTTTGTTGTCTCATCAAATCTGCTTTTACATGTTGTTTGCCCAGTTGTGCAACAAGAAACTACCCATTTAATCTGTGCATGCAAATGATTTAGGCAAAAAAAGTATACAATATAATGAAACAATGGTTTCAAGCTTATTGTTGGGTTAATGCAGGGCATGTCAACAGATGATGGGATTAATGTTAGGCTAACTCACATCTCATCATCTTCATCACGTATATTGGTCTCTGCTGAAAAAGCTGTTCCAATCCCTGTATCATAAGCATCATCCTTGGAAGCAGTACATTTACCATGCTTAAGTAGACTCATGTTCACCATTCCACCAGTCTGGGTTCGGAAGGGATCCTTCTGTGAGAATAAAGACACATGGGATCTTAGAACAAAATTCCAACACCTATAACATAGGTTTATGGTAAAAGGTATGGCTTTCTCACATGAGAAGGTTAAGTTCATGGAATGTTCACACTTCACAACATATTTTCAGACAGACATTTTGTCTGCCAAAAGAACTAAACATGTTTAAATATCTGTGAATGACTTGCTGAAATTTGAACCTCATTCTGCAAGTCCCTTTGCAGAAAGTAGTGAGTGTTCTATGAAATCTGCCTTTATATGCAAAAACAATTTTTTTTAGTGCATTCAACAAGCCTCCTGATTCTCTAACACCCCATCTATGGCAATACCCACACAATGTTGTTGGAAGCGAGTGAGATTTGAGATTCAAGGGAAAAACATTATCAAATGGGTGGCTACTGTGTATCTTGTGAACACCATGTACACCATTTCATTAGTGAATAACCTACCATAAACCCACATGTACTCTTTGCCATACACCCTTCTCCACCCCTTTCTTCCATAGTTCTGCACATTCATACCAAAGTCCACACATCTGTTATATTCAATACACTTTCCTACTTTCACCAAGGGTTTCTGGCAGTCTCAGTTTGGTTCATAACAGTTTTTTTTTTAGTCTCCCTCAACTGGAGATAAAC